AAGTGTGGATTTGAGAGAGTTGTTTAATTAATTACTGGATCATTTATTTGATTTAAAAGCTTACGGCTCACAAGTTTCCCCCCATTTTACTTGACATGATCTCCTTGAGTTGCTCAGAAGGATACTTATTTATTAAAACAGTTTTATTGGCATATAATTGAGGTGACACGATTTTAAATACCAAATTGCCTTTCTCTTTCTACCCCATCACTGCGCACGCATGCACACACACACACACACACACACACAATTAGAAGGGGAGGAATTCAGAGAGCACCCTTCCCCCCTTTCAAGGGGGCTCACCAAACCGCTGCAAGCTCTCAGCCAGGCTCATGAACTTCGTGGGCAGGTCGGTGCCCTAGCCCTCTGAACCTTGTTGGCCTCAGCTGTACAGTGGGGTCAACAGGAGGCCCAGTGCTATTAGCTGTGACCCGACAGGGCAGAGGAGAATCCATTGGGATTTGAAGGGCGTCAAACAGTGAAATGATGAAGGTCCAAGTTAAAAGGAGTGTACCTATCACAAAAATACAAGTCTAAGGCTCGGGGAGGGGTGGAAGGAATGAATTCCTCCCAGCAAGTGGGGTTGAAGCTGAGGCCATCGGACTGCTCAGTAAAGGAGGCGTGGAGAGAAGTCTCCAGGGGCCCTGAACTGAGGTGATTTGAGTAGAGGTGTCAGCCGCATGGAAGCAGTGCCCCCTGCTGGCCAGCTAGAAACACTTCATTGCTAGCTAGACTCCAAGGGTTTGGGGAGAAAGGGCCCCTCAGGGGTTGAAGGAATCCAGAATCGGGAGGGGGAGGCAGGAGGCAAGAGAAATGACCACCTCCCTGCCACTTTCCCCCGGTGCTTCCTCGTTTGGGTCTGTGGGCAGAAGCACTGCATGCCGGGAGTGGACAGATTGACCCTTACCTGCCTTGCCTTGGGAACATCTCTCTCATCTGAAGATCCATCCACCCACCTAGACCTTCTGCCCCTGTGCTCCCCAGAAACCCTGTCTTCATCCCAGGAATACTCACTTCTCCAACCAACCCTGGCTGGCTTCTAGTTTGAGCTCTGGGCATGGGCTTGGATTTGGGGGAACCCCGTTCCAGCTGCCCAGTGGATCCCCTGACTTTAAACTCTGGAACGACAGCGATGGGAGGGAGACTCTGAGCTCCAGGTGATCAGCTTGGTGGCCTTGGCCTTTGAGCGCCACCTTGCCAGCCATGAAGGAGCATGAAGATAGAGACCTAGTGAAACACACATGGTTGTTAAGTGCTGTCCAATTGGTTCCTACCACAGTGACCTAAGGTACCACAGGACGAAATACCACCTGGTCCCGCACCAGCTTCACAATTGATCTCATGTTTGAGTCCACTGTTGTAGGCACTGTTGTCAGTCAATCCATTCTGGCCCCTTACAGCTTTGTTTTAAAGTGGTTGTGAATCATTTGATCTCACTTAAGGAGCCCTGGTGACATCGTGGTTCCAAGTTGGGCTGCTAATCTCCAGATCAACAGCTCAAAACCACCAGCCACTCCTCGGGAGAAAGATGGGGCTCTATACTCTCGTAAAGAATTACAGCCTCAGAAACCCACAGGAGCAGTTCGACCCTGTCCTATAGGGTCCTATGCATTGGCGTTGGTCTTATATAAACGCCCCCCCCCCCAAGGGGCACAACATTTATGATGGCATCCATTCTTCTTGAGCAAAGTTGTTACTTAGTTACAAGGTGACATCAGGGATTGTAGGACTTCCAGATGTGGCTTCTCTCCAGCCAGTCACCTTCCAAATCAATTCACCTTCCTTATTCGTGCTGCCCAGCCTCTAGAGCAGTGGTTCTCAACCTTCCTAATGCCACGACCCTTTCACACAGTTCCTCATGTGGTGGTGACACCCCCAACCATAAAATGCCTTTCATTGCTACTTCATCACTGTCATTTTGCTACAGGTTGAGAACCGCTGCTCTAGAGCAACCCCCTCTACAAGCACCCATTGATTAGACGACAGAATGCTGTCTTGGGAGATGTCACTCAATTGCTTATCCGAGGGACATTGGATTTATTCTGTCCTCCCCGTGTTGTTGTTGCTGCGGGGGTCTCCAGTCAGTTCTCATCCACAGCTGCCACCTGCACCCTCGGCCTCGCAGGCCTCCTGTGCGAGCCCACTGGTGCAGCCACGGTGCGATCCATCTCGTTGAGAGCTCTCCACTCTTCACTGACTTGGCAGGGCAGGAGATCCCTCTCCAGGGGCTGGCCCAGGCGCTGGGCACGGCCAAAGTACCTGAGACCAAGTCTCGCTGACCTCCCTTCTGTGGGCCTTTCTAGCTTTGCTTCTTCCAAGAACAATGCCTCACCCCCAGTAGTCCCGACTCTCTTCTATAGTCTTTGCCAACACCCTCATTCAATGACCAAATCAACTCACCTCCCTTGTTCATGCTACCCAGATTTTGCCAGTCTATGAGGCAATTGAAAATACTATATATATATTCCTTGTAATGTTCTTCAAACCGGAAGCTGAGTCTAGAGGGTGGACTAGATGGAGAGGAAACATTTTTGTTAATAATCCATCCTTTTTGGTGGTGTGTGCTCCACACGGCCCCTACCAGCAAGCAGGCAGGAACAACCTGGCATATTGGGGGGACAGGAAGCTTCCCCACTGAAGTAAAATGGTAAAACCCAAGCCAAACTCCCTGCCATCGAGTCTATGCTGACCTGTAAGACAGGGTAGAACTGGCCCTGTGAGTTTCCGAGACCTTAACTCTTTACGGGGGTAGAAAATGCCATCTGCCTCCCACATAGCTGCTGGCGGTTTTGAACTGCTGACCTTGGAATTAGCAGCCCATCTCAGAACCACTATGCCATCAGGGCTCCACCAGGGTAAAGGGATGCCCGCCTCTAACTGCTGCAGGGAGTTGGGGTCCTCCTCCTTGGCGGTGTGGTCCAAGCTGAAGGTTGGGACTCCATTGCCCTTGGTGATCCATAGCTGTGGGTGGCGCTGCCCACTTCCTTCCTTGGGAGGCAGCATCGAGTGAGGTCCCAGGGCTGTGCCAACAGCTAATGCGCTGGGCTGCTAAGCAGAAGATTGGAGGTTTGGTTTCACCTAGAGGAACCTAAAAAGAAAGGCTTGGCCATGGCACTGACTTCCAAATAGGCAGCCACTAAAACCCCTGTGGAATGCAGTTTTACACAGACACATGTGGGGTTCCCACGAGTCAGAACAGATTCCTCGGCCACTGGTTTGAACATCAGTTACCCAGGAAATAGCACCCACCTGTGGGGGCGCCCACCTGTAACTCCTGGACCAGATCCTAACCCAGGGCCTTCAGCTCCGCAGGTGTGGGAGGAGAGAGACCTGAGAGTGACGGGAACCAGCTGCCACGAGGTGTCCCAGAGCCGCCAGGATGCTTTCAGAACCTGGCCCGGCCACCCAGGAGCAGGAGCAGATGGGCGAGGTCAAGTTGGAGGATGAAGAGCTGGCCAGCCAGCTGGACCCCAAACACCTGGATAGCAGGCTGCGGCCCGAGGTGGCTCACCAACTCTTCCGATGCTTCCAGTACCAGGAGGACATGGGCCCCAGGGCGTCACTGAGCCGGTTGCGTGAGCTCTGCGTCCACTGGCTGCGGCCGGCCCTGCACACCAAGAAGCAGATGCTGGAGCTGCTGGTGCTGGAGCAGTTCCTGAGCGTGCTGCCCCCGCACCTCCTGGGCCGGCTGCAGGGCCAGCCGCTCAGGGACGGGGAGGAGGTGGTGCTGCTGCTGGAGGGAGTCCGGATGGAGCCCGGCAATGTGGGGCCACTGGTAAGCGGGCAGCTGGGGGGACATGGGGTTTCACTGGCCCTTCATCGGTGCCCTATTTCCCCAGGTCAGCATTTTCTCAGTGTAATGACTGCTATCTAATT